TATGAAGTAGAAGAAGATGAAAAGAATAAAAGTAGAATGTTGAGAATATAAAATAAAAGAAGATAAAAAAGAATAATTCAAAATGAGATAATAAATGATGAAAATAATGATGAAATAATGGATGTATTTTTTATTACAGAAATTAGAAATATGCAATAAAAAAGTGTTTAATTTATTGATGCAAATTATTTAACATTATTTTATTTATGCAAATTATTTTATTCTTTTTTATTTTTATAATTTTTATTTATATGTATTATTTATTATCTTTTTTCTTTTTAGTATATTGATTATTTTATTTTATTATTTATTATTCTTTTATTTATTTTTCTCTATTCTTTTATTTGTTAATTTTTATTATATTTATGAAATATTTCATTATTATAAAATAATTTTATTATTTAATTATTTAAATGATTTAAATTAAAATGAATTTATTCTATATTTCATTGATTTCTTTTATCATTATTTTATATTTTAATAATTTCTTTAATATCATCATTTTATATTATTATATTTATTGTTTCATATTTTTATTATTTATTATTATTATTATTTTTTCATTTATTATTTTATTTTAATTTATTATTATGTTTATTTATATTTCTTTTCTTTCTTATTATTCTTCTTTATTCTTATTATTTATTTATTTCTTATTTTTCTATTTTATTTATTTTCATTTGATTCATATTTTCATTTCTTGTTTTGATTATTTTGATTTGATTTAATTTTAATTTTTATTATTATTATATTTTTGATTATTCGGGATTCGAAGGTAGCACGTCAAAGACACCACACAGAACCCTAAAATATTTCCATCCCTCGATTCCTCCCAGTTATGGACTGGTTATGACGTTGCGTTTGGTTAGAAAAACATCTTACCCGGTACTGCAAGAATAGCAGTGTTTATTATGTACAATGACAGAATATCATTGACAATAAACGAATGGGTATTTATAAAGATGGTATTATTACTTGTTATGATACAAGTATTATTTGATAATATAAGAAAGATTAACAAAAGAAAAGGGTCAAGTGGATGAGGCTAAAAGAATATTAGCCCAAAGCAATACAGTGGTAATTATATGCTCTCCTTAAAATAAGAAAATAAAAAAGAAGAAATCTAAACCCAAAGAAGAAGAAATTTAAACCTATCAAAATTAAAAAGAAATTAAATAATGAATGTTTAAATAAGGGATGTTTAAATACTCTATTCCACATCAAAAATGAGAAAAGAAAGTTCTCACGGTTCAACAACTAGAAGCAAAGAATAAGGCAATAGTTGAAGAACAAATACTTTTAAGCTCAGGGACGGGATTAGTTTCCCCTGAGCAAGGAACAATAGACACAAGTTCTATTAATACTTAATTAACTACTTTTTATTATATTTTTGAT